ATGAGATTTTATTGTGAAAATATTGCCGATAAATCATTTTTCTTAAGAGTAATTAACTTTATAAAAAAATCACGTCTTCTAATCTCTAAGGTGCAGAACACTACTAAAAAAAATGATGTGGTCTCACCTATGCCTGTGTATTAGAAAAGAATGAAATATGTAAAGTTGTAATACAAATATCAATATTATAGTTATAATATTACATATTATTGTAAACTTACAATCATAACATATCATATTAAAATTACAAGTTTACAATATGATACGATATTATAATTATATCATTTTTGTAATACAAAGTCCAATTCCTTAATGCACTTCGTAGTTTTAAACATAATAACATGTCATGAGGGTCATTTCATTTCCCACCTGCTATGCTTTAAATTTAAAAGACAATCGAATTTGAGTTACCTGTTTTATAATTCAGACCGCATCAAATTACATTACAAGGACAGATAGAAATAAAACTCCTACTATCAAGAGACCCACCTTTCATTCTTGTTATACAATCTGGTTCACGCCGGACTGCATGACGGTTTTCTTTCAAATTTAGAAATGTAATTGTGCTAGAAGTCGGCATGCCAACCGCATACAATAAGAAAACATACTACTACACTAAGGACATATTAAGAGGTAATGCTGGAATGGGATGATTATGATATAGACACATCTCACTGCAGGCACTCCGGCACTGCAATTAAAGTGGCTGCACCCCCGACTTAGTTTACAACGTTCTGGAGTTTGTTTTTTTACGGGGTCTTTACTACGTTCTGGAATTGGTTTCCTCAAATACGACTTGAATCTCTTCCAAAAACAAACCTCCGAGCCCAATCAGAAACAACAAGCACTCGGGTGCGCCAGCTTACTTGTTTGCTGAATATACAAAAATGTGACATTGGGTTACATGTGAAGGCCACTGTTTAATAAACAGGCAATGAAGTATCAGAAGCAGCGGGAATCACCTTGCATATACAGAATACCATAGCCACTGAGAGCTATGACCAATTGAAACCCAGTCCCCAGGCAACTCTGCAGCTGCTTGCTCCCCTCCCAAAGGAGCAAATTGCCCAAAATGCTTGTACCTTCGATTGACAAAGTTTTCAAAACTTCAATTAGAGTGGCAAAAGATATCAAGTTGCATAAAGTTTACAATCATCAGTGTTGTTCTATTTAGCATAATCAGTTTATGCAATCATGGCTTACTTAATTACTACACCCGAGGAGTTGGAATTTTTCATGGTGCTAGCTATACTAGACAGAGAAACACAGGAAAATCAACCTGATTTGTATTAAAAGCAAAAAAATATATTATCTTTTAACTGTCCTGCTCAATTTGAGACTGGCAACCGAATTCATAAGAAACATTGTGAGACAGAAAAACACTAGACAGATGAATTAACAACATGACAATTGCATATCATCAAAAAGTAATCAATGGATAAAACTGACCACAACATCAACAGTGTGAAGACCCTGATATTAGTTATTTTTTTGACCATTGGTTATAGTTAATAACATATTGAAACCTATGTTGAAAACAGTTATTATTTGTCTAAAATATATGTACTCTTTGGAAGGCACTTACAAAGGAAACCAATATGTCATGGTAATAAATGAGAGTATGGTATGGCATACCGGAATGGGAGGAATTGATGACGGCCAGTCCCCCTAAAACGTCGAGGACCTTCAGGGTTGTTCTCACACTGGTGCCTGCGATTGAAGCATTTAGAAAGATATGAACCTTGTTGAGCAGCAACCTGAATTCAAACAGAGGAGAAAGGGATAAATCTCATATTGATTGACATTGGAAGCCAAAAAAACACATGAGAGCAAAATACAACTATCTGATGAAGGACAAGTACCTGGGCTGTTGCAGGTAGACTCTTCATCTGTGAATCCACATGAGAAAGGGCTAACTTAAACCCTTCGATGTCCACCTCATTTCTATCCATCCCCTTGGGATCTTTCCATAGATCTGATACATCTTTTAGATGATGGCTTTTTAAATACAGTTCCACTTGAGGGTACCTTACAAGGATGTCATCTATTACACCTTGGAACTCTTCAAGGGTTAAGATCCCGGAGTTGTCTTTGTCTGCAGCCTTAAAAATGGTTGCGATATCTTCCTGAAGGTATTGTGATAGAAAATTACAAGGTAATGTTATCCAAAAGTACTCAAACACAAGCCGCACACATATAAAATCACTGTTGTAAGTAATAAGCATTGCAGAAAGGATGCCATAGCACAAAGAGGAAAATGAAAGAAATTGTATAAACTGCCAAAATGTTATTAATCGGATTACAGATAAGAAGAGCATTATGCAAGATCATGCATTTCCACCATTTATTTCTCCTGAATGGTAATATCAACCTTCTTATCCACTTTAATGAACAAGCTATATTGATCACAAACCCGCTTTCTTTTTACTTTAGTAACAGAAATATAATAAAAATTTAATTCAAAGGTGTGTTGTTGCAGATCTTGAAAGTTTCTACAAGCTTCACCATGACATGGTCCAAAGAAAACACACACCAGAATCAGATTAAGAGCATGTTTGGTGAAGCTTATAAGTGCTTCAGCTTTTTGACACTATTCATGTTTCATAAGTTTAAATTTTACTCTTAAAAACTTACATTGTTTAACTTTTTTTTAACATTAAAAAGATCTTAAACAGTGAATTTTGAAAAGCTTCAAACTTTTGCTTATTATAAACTTCCTTTTTACTCACTTCTTATTATTTCTAAAAGCAACTTTTAAATTTTCCCTCCAATAAAAATTTAAACTTATGACTCATAAACAGTACTAAAAAAGCAAAAGCTCCAAAAAGCTCCACCAAACAGGCCCAAAGTTTCCCAACATATTTCTTCCTTTTCTTCTTACGTCAAGTAAAATTTCTTATTCAGCAAGACCATGCATTAGGTGTCATCCCTTAGTAAGTTGAGGAAACAGGAAGGATTGAAAGATTTGAATCTCCATTTTAACAAGTTTGATCAGATTACTTCTTCAAGGAGTTCAGTACTCCAAAAATATTGACAATTGCATGTTTTAATGAGCAATTATTTCTAAATGTTTTTATGAACTAGAACACCATGCAACTGAAAGTATGCACTTCTTGCAAATATAATGAGAAAATCTAACAATTACAGCATAACCTACCATGATTTTACGTTGCTCTATTGTAGCACAATCACCAAGGGCATACGCATTCTCGCATCCCTTTACTCGCAACCATTCATTAGTTGCCAGAACACGTCTATTAGCCTGAAATATCAAACCTTACTATAAGTTGTTGAGTACAAGATAACTGCACTTTCTGAGAACTCCAATCAACCGAAAATTAGAAAATGAGAATTAACCATTTAGGCAAGTTGAAAAATAAATATAGAACCTAAAGTCTGGATATTCAGATGCAACCAGCATCCATATCTAAAACTCCATGCTTAAAAGTCATTACTATCACGGAGAAATTTCTCTATCTAACCTGGCCAATTTGATCCATGAATTCCCTCACAACAGGGCGAGTTCCAACACCAGTAGACCAAATGACTAGTCCATGGGGTACAGAACAAACCTCTCCTGTTGATTTGAGCTTCATAGCAATTTCCTTATCAGAAACACTAACAACCCGACATCCAGTTTGAACCTGAATACCATCTCTGCTAAATTTCTGCTCAGCAAATGCACTTATTCTTTCATCAAACCTACAGAGAATGAGAGCAAAGTTTGTTAAGTTTGGAGTTCTGTCTTCCCTATTCACTAAACTGAATCACTAGGAAAAATAAAATGGAACAGACCTCTGTCTTTGTGTTTCAGAAACGAACTATCATTTATTAAAAAACTTTTGAAACCACAGAACAGCATACCCTCCCATGCAAATGAAATAGAAGGGTATAATTACTTAGTTTTCTGAAAGTTCACTGATATGTTACCTTTACATGGATGAAAAATACAGTTCTAATACATCAACATGAATTCTCAATAAGTAGGAAATCAGAAATTAAAACACGCATAACCTGTCATCAAGATATGCTTCATCACTTAACTACACTTGCAGTTATAGGCAAAGAATATAAACCTCAAACTGCAAGCTTAAGATAGTTAACAAGTCATAATTCATGATAAAAGGGAAACGATACTATGGTACTAGACCAGGGAAACAAAAAAAGAGATGTAAATGACAATATTAGGTCAGTCCTTACATATTTAAAATGTGATCTCCTGATTGGATTACTGTTATTTTGACTAGATCTTTGACCATTGGATATAGCTTGACAAGATCTTCTTGGATAAAATCATGCAGCTCTGCTGCAAACTCCACACCAGTAGGTCCCCCTCCCACAATTACAAAATGGAGGTTTATCCTTCGCTCTTCTTCACTTAAGCCAGGAAGAACTGCCTTTTCAAAACAATCAATCACAGTCCTGCGTATCCGCTGAGCATCCTCTACTTCCTGCATGCAACATCATGGTTCCACTTTCACGTAAGTTCAAAAAAGAAACTTAACTCATAAAAGACTGCAAATGGAGATTGAAAGAAACTGAAAGTTTAAAGATAAGCAGAATCTCAAATTACTAAAGAATGAAAATAAAATTGGGATATTAACAAACACTAGTTCGCAAAATGACAGACGAGTAAATGCCTACCTTCAAAAAATGGCAGTTCTCTAGCACACCAGGGGTGTTAAAAGTATTTACTTGTGCTCCTACTGCTATAACCAAGTAGTCGTATTCCAAAGAGAATTCTGTATTTCCTACCAAGTTGTCAACAGTAGACCGACACAGAACTTTATTGTTTGCAGGATCAATCTTGAGACACTCTGCCTCATAAAACTTAATTTCTCCATTTCTCTGCCAGCAAATAACACACCAAAAGGTAAACGTTCAATATAAACCAGCTCAAAGTTTGTGAGCCTATAAATGGAGTGAAAAGAAATGATTACTAAAACATTCAAAAAAAAAAAAAAAAAAAGGACAGAAAGAAAGAAAAGAAAAAGAAGGAAAAATATCCAAAAGTATCTTTTGGCCTGATGTTGGAATGTATTAGGTATGTCCTACATTCATTTTAACACGTTCACGTACATATAACAAAATGAAATTTAATGAAAGAAACCCCATAGATCTTTCTTTTACAGGTACCTTCTTTATAATGTTCCGGACTGGCTCCACAATGCTTCGTGCTTCAACCGTTCCACAGGTGACACTTGGTAATAAAGGCGTAAATGCAAAATAATTTCTGGGTGAAACAACCTGAACATCATATGACGAAATATCTAGATCTTTAAGGAAACTAGTACCACCCCATCCTGTTCCTAGAACCAACACTCTCTTCTTGACACCATCTTTTTCATGAATTTCAGCACTGGGTGGACTAATGTCCTGTGATTCTGCATATGCCAGCAGACCCCCACTACTGCACCATGACAAAAGTGAGTCAAAATGGTAAAACAAATGATTATGTAGTTTTGTTCAAAAAACCAAGTTCTCCACTAAAAGTTTATCTGTTAGAATATGAAGCAAAGCAAAAATATAATCCAAGAAATTTTGCAACTATTTAAAAGCCATGTATCCTTTTCCAATCTGCTTTCCTAGAGATAGAAATAAGAACATGATGAACCAGCTAGATTATAGAAAAGAATAAAGAGAGTAAGGTGGTACAACCGCACGTCTAACTTCCGCTGCTTTATGTTTCATTTGGGAAATAATTTCACCAAATCTGCCCATACTTTGTGAGATGGTATAATAGAATTGATGCTGACATGTAAAGTTTCTCACGCTTCAAAAAAGCTGTTTGATCAATGATTTGAATGCTCATGCTCCTCTCAATCAAAATCCAACTCATTTAAAATTCAACCTAGATAATATCTAGCGGAATGGTTACAATTCATAAGGTAAAACCCACCAAGTTTAAAGGCATGAGCAGCTAAGAATGCTCTAAAAATCAACAAATTAGGAAATTAGAGCTTTTATGTCAGCTCAATTTGTTTTGAGCTGAAGGAGAAATCTTAATTAAGCTGAAGATCTAAATCACTCATTATATTAAGTAAAAATCTTGACTTTAATTTCTCAAATACCCAAATAAGAAAAAGAAGATCTAAAATTATACATTTTCACAACTCCCCTGTAATCAGTTGATAATCAAACAGAAACCCCCCAAAAAAACCTGTAAAAAATATATATATATATATATATATATATATTTGATTAGCTAAAGAGTGAAAGGAATGGAACCTGAGAGTGCAGAGAAGCAGAAGCTTAGAGGTAGCAGGGTAACCATTGAAAGATCTTGAAGCTCTGCTGAAGAAAGACAGAATAGTCATTGTGCTGAAAGCCTGAAACAATGAGAATTACTTGGTCTTGATTCTTGAGGGGAAATGTGAGATCTACTATGTGCCTATATTTTTCTCCTTTCTTTCCTTTTCTGGAAATTTCCTTGAGAGTTGGAGTCCGTTCTCAGTCTCTGAAACAATTTTTGTGTCTTCAGTTTTTCAGAGCAGATAATACGTAATTGTAAGAGTAAAAACCGGGGTAGTTTAATTGCTAAAATTTGTTTGTTTAATTTAGTTGACTTAAGATTTATAATTAAGGAAATACGCAGAGGAAGGTCCGTGTGATTCTCTGATGTAAATTCTTACATTAGAGTTGCAAGAATAGGATTAGGACAGCAATAAGTGGGATGCGTTGCTCAATCAGTCCTGTAAGAACGGAACGGGTGGGTTATTGCCGACCATAAAAAAAAAACTCCCTCCATTTCAAAATTATATGC